ATATAAGTAAATTTAGATATGTTATATATTTAGTACATATTATATTACACATTTAGTTACATATATATGTAACTAAAATTAATATAGTTAACAATACTGTGTTACATATTTGAAAGTTGCTAAGAGAGTAAATCTGGAACCTTCTCATCACACACACAATTTTTTTGCCACTATGTAAAATGACAGATGCTTACCAGACATTGTGGTGATCATTTCACAATGTACAAAAATACCAGATTGTTATGTCATATAATTGGAACTAGTACATTATATGTCAACTGTACCTCAGAAAAAAAAATAATTAAAAAAAATGACGGAATTAATGGGCTGGATTCTGACTTATTTTTGTGCTCCCTCAAAACCTCATGTGATTCATGTCATCATGGTCACCTAAAAGAACTGTGACCAGGTGCAAGAAAAGTAATACTTAAATTACTAATATCTACATCTCCAGGGGGAGATGGCTCCTCAGTGCCAGGTGCTGTAGGAGGTACCTCTGCAAGGTTTCTTAACCTGGGGCCTGGTCGGTCAACCTGGAAGGAATAAATATTGACATCTTTAACATCTCTGACGTTGAACTAAAATCTGGCATGCCCTTCACATATGAATGTAGAGAGCAAAGGACAGTCAGAAGTCCCTGTGGTTTCATCGCCAAGAACAATCACAGGTTACAGCCTGCAGCCCACTGATAAATCCCCGAGTCGGGAAGAGTGATGCTCCTCAAGGAACTCAGGTCTGCCTTACTGTTGATGTTTTACCAAAACCCTAAAGCTATCTTCCCTTAACAGCAGCCAGACCATCCAGGTCTTATGGAGCCTGCTTCCAGCTGACAGATTCCCTAGAAACGGAGGTTTCCTCCACCTTCCCTCCTGCACAAACTAAAAAGTGTGTCCCCATCATCCACTCCTCAGGATCACCCCTTCTCCTGCCCGCGGGTCCTGCCCCAGCTACCATGGAAACACCTGCTGCACCGGTCCCGGGCCCCTGTCACCGGGACCCACATCCGATGACAGCAGCATCGCAGACCTGGACGAGGAGATACGTTGTAAATGGCTCATACTTACTATTCCGACGTGACAGTGGCCATAAGACAGGGCTTGATGTAGAACATTCAATACGTCAACACAGTGTTATTTTACATGCTCGGTAACTGTTTTTGTCGTATGATTGCCCTTTCTCTATTTGTTACTGCTTTCTTAGAATATAATTTTGAGGAGGGCTCCACGGGCAGTATCGCGAGGCCAGAGGGCACTGAAGCCCCTAACGGGTGCACAGGCCCCAAGTGGCTTCCGGCTCTGACAAGCCCCTTCGGTGAGGGTACTGAGGGTCGGCGCCCTGAACCCCAGGCCTCCGCACGGTTGTGAGGGGTCCAAGGAGCAATCCGGGGAAGGAGCTTCACGGGGCCGGCCTCCCTCAGCCGGCTGGAGCCAGGCCGCGACACCGGAAGCAGAGGCCTCCCGAAGCCCTAGAGAGGCTGGAAGTGCTTGGTCGGGCGGTTAAGACTCTGGGCGCGCATGCGGGTGCGCGCTCGTACTTCCGGGTTGTGCCCCACGTGGGGAGCGCTGGAGAGGGTTGAGGGCATTTGGCGCCGGTTTTACGAAGATGACTGTGTCCACTGCTGAGAAGAGGGCTTTCAGAGCCGGCAGTGAGGCTCCAACCTGATAGCCGGAGGCCAGCCTGGCAGCGCCCCAGACAGGCCCCAGATGGTTAAGGAGAAAAACTGGGTACCCTGCTCCCTGCCCCAACTAATAAATATCATGCCTCCTAGTTAACAACAATCAATAAAGGAAACCCTAACCCGGGGGTGGCAGCGCTTTCTCTTCTCTCTCAAGGTGCCTGCTCTCATGTCGGGAGATTGTACTTTTTGCTTTAATAAACTGCCCCACTTGTGTCACTGCTGTGCTGTGTGTCTGTCCTGGAGTTCCTTCTCGTGACCAAGAGCCTGTGGTGATGCCTTCAGGTCTGGCTGAGCCAAGGCTCCAGGGCCCCGGAGTACCCCCAGTTCACCAGGCAATAAAACTAAGAGGTACAGAAGTGGATACAGGAAAGTAAGTTTCCCTCTCTCTTTCCAGCTCTTCCAGGACCAGGGCCTCCATTTTGAGAGTCACAAATTTTATTATGGAAAACTCTGGATCACTCAAGCTGTTTGGTGTCAGACACCCAAATTCTCAAAATATTCATAAACCAGGATGTCAATTTATTAATTTACAGATAGGAATGTAAGTACCAAGTGGGTCAGATAAGGGGGCAAGGAGGTTTAAAGTGTAACCACTATTTCCTAATTTGCTCTTCCCCATTTAGAAATATTTGTCTAAAAAACTACCATCTTTGTATAGAAAAAAATAGGCCTTTCTAGTTTTATGTTGCTAGAGAAACACTGAAATCCTAAATTCCATATGACCACTTCCCCATTGAATTTAGAGTCCTTTTATTCTTTTATTACTACCCTTCTTAATATATGTGTATGTGTGTGTGTGTGTGTATATATATATATATATATATATATATATATATTTTTTTTTTTTTTTTTTACTTATGAGAGACACAGAGAGGCAGAAACAGGGTCCCTGCAGGGAGCCCGATGGGGAATTCAATCCCAGGACCCCAGAATCAGGTCCTGAGCCAAAGGCAAATGCTCAACCACTGAGCCACCCAGGTACCCCTCATTACTATCTTTCTTTAGTGGAAATTACAACCGTTTAACATGCAGAATATTATTTCTTGCACTTGATTGTTTCCTGGTGGTGTCTTGGGAAATGCCTTAATTTACACAGGAACTGGACAGATCACATTTGAAATTTAAACCACTGATCTTTTCAACAATGGAAAGCTTCCAGGCCCTGCAGTTGTAGAACTGGCTCTTAATTTGGGTTTTTCTACTCACTGTATTATCTCAAGGGAAATTATTTCATTTCTATTTGCATCAGTTTCACTAAATGTAAAGCAAAATGGGGATACTAATATTCAGCTCAAAGGGTCATGGAAATCACTGGACAGATATAGTGTTTGGCAAACAATAAGCACTCAAGAAATACCTTATTGTTAAAAAAAACCTACTACAATTTGGCTATGCATTAATTTTTTTTAATTCAACAATTTATTGAACATCTACTATGCACCATATTCTCTTAACATCTTTGCAAATGTTATTACTCTTACAGAAGGCTTTCCTCCACTCCTTCCTTGCTTGACCACTCCTGTTTTCATTTTGCTGCCTAGGTGTCAAAATTACCCAGGAAGTTCTCCCTGAAACCCCTTTATACGCTCTGGCATCAGGCTCAGGGCTTCCGTGGCAGTACCACCGCAACACTAAGCACAGTACTGTGTGGTGACTTTTTGCATTTCACTTTGGCTTCTGATGACAGAGAATGCTTCTCTTTGGTCCTGACCTGTTCTTGCTTGGCAAAGAGAAAGCACAGATACAGTTTTTTTTTTTTTTTTATTTGCTGTTAACCAAATAAAACGGGGCAGGAATAGTTGAGCAGAGGGAAAGACAGCAATACAGCATGGTAACATAGAATTTCATGCAATTCAGTGTGACAGCCATCTAATTTGTCTTCCTTCTTCAACTCTTGCCCTCCCCAGATGGCTGATTGCTTGCCCCCCTACCCCCACTTAGAATGTGTTCTCTGTTGGAACGCTAATGGTATCCCATCACTTTCAGAGAAAAATTACAGCTTGGAGGGTCTTCCATTTCCTGGCCCTTGGCTTTCTCTGCAATCCTATCGCTGTCACTCTTATCCATCTTCTTTCCAGTGTTGGACCCTGGCTCACGGGTGCCAGCGTGTCCCGGTGGTCGCCCCAGAGACCCAGACCCCAGACAGGCAGATGCAATTAGCAAGAGGGTTTATTGAACGTTTGCGCAAACGGGCTCTCCGCCTCCGAGGAGGAAAAGAGCCCCGATTAGCAATTACAGGGATCTTTTAAAAGGCAAAAGGAAAGAAACTGCCTAAAGACAAAAGAACCGTGGGAGTCGCATGGCATCCAGGTTGATTTCGGGGAGGGTCAACATGAACTTGATATTCAGGGACATTCCAATCAGGGTGTGTGGGGGGAAATGGTTTTCTTATTGAGAACAGAATGCTTTTAGTTGCTAAAGTTTCAGGAAGACGCCTGGATGGGCTGCCTCTGGATTAGGGCTGGCCCTACTTACAAGGGGGGAAGTTTCTTCACCAGTTTAGCCACTTCTGCGGCCTTATTCCCTATTCTTCCTCAGCGAGCCAAACACATTTTCACCTCCTGTCTGCTGGAGTGCTTTCCTTGCATATTGACATCTCTTGTTCCTTTATTTCATTAAGTGCTCTGCTCAGATGCCATCTCATCATGAAGGATTTCCCTCACCAGCCTATCTAAATGGCACCCACTTTTACTTGTTAACTTAAGGCCCCTCCTCACATAAATCTGTGTATTTTCTACTTCTCCCCCCCACCCTGACCCAACCATAATATCAAGTTGGTGACAGTAAAAACTTTGTAAAAAAAAAAAAAAAAAATTTGTTTGCTCCTGTGCGCTAAGCAATTGGACAATGCTCAGCATTAGAAAGAGTAAAAATGGGAATAAAACTGTGTAGAAACAAAATTGTCTGTGTATGGTTTGCCTATGTAGAAAACCCAAAAAATAGAGCCATATTACATGAATTAATGAGAGCTTAGCAAGGTTGCTGGATCTAAACATCAAGTTTAGCTAAAAACAGAAACTGCAGTAATTAAAAAAAAAATACCATGAAAATAGCATAAAAACATCTGAAGTCCCTAGGAAATATTAATAAAAGACATTTATGGAGAAAATTATAAAACTTTATTGAAAGACATTTAAAAAGGCTAAATAAATGGAGAACTATATCATGTTCATGGATTGGAAGACTCAACATTGTAATTAGTCTACAAATTCAATACAAATCCAATAAAAATTCCAACATTTTAATTTTGTTTTAGAACTTGTCCATCTAATTCTAAAAGTTGTACAGGAGAGCAAATGGCTAAGAATAGCCAAGATATTCCCAAGGAAGAAAAACTTGGTGGTGATTTTTTTTTTTTTTTTTTTTTGGAGGTGGGATTTGTCCTGAGATAGCAAGATCTTTTCTTAAGTTGTAGTACCCAGGCTTGTATAGTATTGCCACAAGGCTAGACAAATTGGCCAGTGAGTCACCCACATGTGTAGACTTCATTTATGAAAGAGCTGGTGTTATAGATCAGTGGGAAAGAATTAAGTCATTCATAGAGTGGTGCTGGGACAACCACCACTTATCCATATGGAAAAAAAAAAAAAACATTCAACTGAACTATCTCATACTTTTCACAAAAATCAGTTCAGAGCAGACTAAAACCAAATGTGAAAAGCAAGACTATAAAATGTCTACAATGCAGTAAAGAATAGCTCTATAACTTTGGGTAGGAAATCCCCTACCACCAAGCTAATTTGTATTCAGCTTAATAAGATATTTTTTAAAACCAGTTTCTTCCAGGAGAGAGTTGATAATCCACAACATTTTACAAGTTTCAAACTCCCCTCCCCCAAAAGTCAACAGTCTTCGGTTGCTGTTTTAAAAAGGCAGAGTTCTCAGTAGGGGTGGATGTTTCACAAGAGATGTGTAAGATCTTTTTGCAGGTCAACTCCAGCATGTTAGAAAGACGCTAAAACTCTCAGATTACAAAAGGGATGATCTGCAAACTAGGAGCAGGAACCTTGGCTCTTTTGAGCAACACCATGTTGATGTCATCACCAGAAAGCCTGAGTATTTTAGGAGGCCCAAGGCCACATCAAAACTATTTCAGGAAGTCAGGTATATGCTGATGGCATCAGGAAAGAAGACAAAGTTTTGCTTCTCCACGATGTAAGGCTTCTAAGCCAAAGTGGCTAAATTATGTGAATGTCAGAGAATCCCTCCTGGGAACCAAGAATAATCTTCAAACACAAGGATAGAAGATTTCATCTTCCCCCATTTCAATCCAGCTTCTGAGACATTCTGTTAGTGGTATTTGCACTTTGCATGAAAGAAAAGACAACAACAATGTGTCTTGTAGGCTAACAACAGAAATTTGAAAAAAAAAATTCTACATTTTTATAAAACTTGATTAAAGAAAAATAGTATTTCAAACAGTATAGTCACTAGAAGGACAGCGCTATCAAAAAAGTACCCTTTACTTGGCATCCCCACCACCTTCTGCTTTCTGTGACTGGGCTGCAGAAGCATCTAAGTTCTTCGCAGCGTTGTTGCCATCCTTGCCACCCTCTGCTTTGCCCTTTCTCCTTCTGGGCAGCTTCTCTCCTTTCTTGGCAGGGGTCTTTTTAGGCCTGGGTTCTGGTTTTGGAGGAGCCGGTTTAGCAGACAACCGTGCTGATCTCCTCTGTGGCTCATCCTTCACCTTCCCTTTGTCACCTTTAGCATCTCCTTTTGCCTTTCTCTTGGGCATGGTGGCAGCAGCGCTCGGCAGGTAGCTCTGTCAGTCCAGGGAAGGGGTGGTTTCTGTCTCCTTCCCACTGCTCCTAGAAAGATTTCTTTCACAAACACAGAAAAGTATAAACCATGATGGGAAAGACTGACAAATTTAACTACATTAAGATTCAAATTTGACTATGTTAAAATGAATAATTTGTGTAAATCAAAGATACTATAAAAAAGTAAAAAAGGTAAGTTGCAAGCTGGACAAAGATATTCGTAACATATATGACTGACGAGGGATTTGAATCCAGAATATATAATGAATTTCTACAGATCCATGACAAAAGGACAAAAGGAAAATTTTAAACAGTGAGCAGAAGTGTTAACAAGTACTTTTTAGAAGAAGCACGAATGGTGAATAAACACAAAAAAGTACTCTTAAAATGCATACTAACATTTCACACCCATTAAACTAGCGGAAACTAAATTGACAAAATCAAGGGCTCAGTAGATGTGTAACAATGAAAACACCAAATACTGCTTGGATGTGTGTTTATGTGTATACAAATTAGTGTATTAAATTTGAAAACATACTGAAAAGCAATTTCACTTCTGGGTATTTCCTAGAGGAATTCTTAGAAATGTGCACAGGAAAGAAAACCCTACAAGAATGTTTATGGCAAATCTGTAATTTCAAAACACACCACCACCCATCAGCCTTCAATGATAGAATAGGTAAATATGTTTAGTTGCATCTATGCAAGGGAATGCTATTCAGCAGCAGAAATGAGTAGATTACAGTGACACGCAAAAACAGAGATGAATCTCAAGAACATAATGTTGAGCAAAAATGACAGGTTGCAAAATATGTACAGTATAGGTCCATTTACAAGTACAAAAGTAAATGACATGTTTAGGCTACAAGCAAATAGTAAAACTAAAAAGAAAAACATGGGATAAAGATAAAAATCGAAACAGTCACAGCAAAAGGAATTGAGAAAGGGATGGCAGTTGGAGTGTAAAAAGGTCCAGAGAAAGGGGTGGGGGTAGCATTCTCTCCCTTGAATTGAGGGTGGGGTGGAGGAGGAGTGACATGGCTGGTGTACTATTCTCTAGATTCTACACAGAGTCATTTTATGTATCTGCTCAAGAATTAATAAAAATTACTTTAAAAAAGTACATAGCCCAAAGCACAGGTTCAAGGATATACAGAATGGAAAGTGATTTGAGTTTAGGTAATTAGGGCCTAGGCCTATGGCTGGCATTCACAAGCACTGTGTGAACTTTTTTAAAGCTTTACGCTAGGACTAGCTACTCACACTTCTGTCCCACCCTTGAAAACATTTCCTGGGGAATTCTGTAACCTATGCCCTGTCCCATTCCACCATGTTTTATTTTAAGAAAAAAAAATTATCTTGTCCCTAAACTGCTCCAGAGTATTGTTTTGTTGTTTTGTTTTTGCTGGACCTCAGTATCTAAATACATAAAGGGCAAACATGATCCTTGAGCAAACTTGGTTTTGATATTTATGTTCCTTGGCTAACAAAAATGATCACCTACAAATGGTGCGAAAACATCAAACTATCTATTTTTCTCCTCAGTTTTTCACCATGACTAGAATTACTGGAAATGTTGCATTTTTCCTTCCTTCTTGTGCAATAGAGGGAGAAGTGTATTAGTATAAAGACGAAAAGAAGAAGCAAAGTGCCTTGAATCAGTCAGTACTTCCCTCGGTACCTTATAAGAAACTTTGGGAACTGAGATTGAAACTGAGAGGAGAAACAGTTCTATGCTCATGCTGAACAGCAATTCACTGAAAAGCTAATGTGAAATTAGCTGGACCCTTCTAATCCCTTACTGTGTTCTTCCTTTGCCTCTAAATAATCAAAATTACTGAGGGCCGAAAAGTCCCTGTTGCCACAGATACACACTGCAGTTCAACTGACCCAGTAGACTCAACCTGCTCTCTCCTGAGGACATGCTTCCCTAGACATTTTGTGAATTTATGCCTGATTTATTCCCTTTTTTTCTCTCTCCCAAATGTACCACTAAAGAAATGTGTAAGCGATTCTTAGAGAACAAAAGTTTTGTTTTTTTTTAATCCAAATTCTGACACAAAAAAGAAAATACTTTATAAAGAAAGTAATTGAGAAGGATGCCAGAAATCACATAGGTCAACTCTGGGTATGGTAAAGGTGTGCCCAGAAAGGAACAGGTAGGAAAAGACAGCTGTTCTTATGAGGAAGGAACCAACGTTGCAAGATATTTTATGGCATGAAAATCATTTGGTCTCCTATTAGGGTAACTTGGTTTACATCCACTGCCCTGGTGCGATTATTAATAATGTCCCCATTCACTCTCAAAAGTGTGCCAATGTGAATAAAAAATGATAATGTCACTGTAAACATTCTGCATATATTTTTAGAGGCCTTTTCATTACCAGAGGATGAGAGAGGAGACCAAAGGGTGAGCTTTTCTTCTAGGACACACTTCCCTAAAGAATGGACACTTCATACCATTCTCCTTCCATCTCACTCCAAAACTGTGTGTCTTAGCCCATGTCCTGGTGTGGGAACGCTCACAGTCTGTTTCGTGGGCTCAGTCTTCTTCATGTTAGATCCCTTGCAGTCCGTCCCAAGCAGGGGGGCCGTGATCGCCACATGTCAAAGGCCGAAACACAGCAGGTAACAATAAAGATAAATTCAAGGAAAACAGGCCACCAGCTAGATGCTGTATCTGAGTATATGAAATGGATTAGTTCCTTGAAACTCACCTTGCAGAAGCTTATCAGGAGACCACAGGCTGACTCTCCAGAGACCTTGCAAATCAGGAGACAGATACACAAATAAGGAAAAAGGGCCAGTGGAATAAAGTGATTTCATTTCCATGAAGGCCAAAGATAGATGAGTAGGGAGGGTTCTCACCACCCAGTGGTGTTAACTGCATAGAAATTATTGGTGGTGGAGGGCCAGGGATTTTTTAGGATAATGAGACTAATTTGTATGAACTATAATTGTAGATAGATGACATTGTGCAGTTAACAAAACTCAACTGTATACAGTGAAGCCTAAATAAATAATGGACTTCCATCAATTGTAACAGATGTATCCCATGAGTGCAAGCTGTTATTAATAAGAGACTAATAATAGAACCTACGTCCTGCTCAATTTGTCAAAAAGCTAAAACTGCTCTTAAAAAATAAAGTCTAGGGATCCCTGGGTGGCGCAGCGGTTTGGCGCCTGCCTTTGGCCCAGGGCGTGATCCTGGAGACCCAGGATTGAATCCCACATCGGGCTCCTGGTGCATGGAGCCTGCTTCTCCCTCTGCCTGTGTCTCTGCCTCTCTCTCTCACTGTGTGCCTATCATAAAAAAAAATATATATATATAAAGTCTACTAATTTAAAAAAAACTATTTTAAGAATTAAAAAAAAGAAGTGACAATTTGTTAGGCAATAAAATATAGAAGTCATAGGATTACAAATATTCCATCATACATGTGAGAGAAAATAAATATTATAAACTGGCAGACAAATCACATAAGTAATTTTATAACTTTGGGAATACAGAGATAGGACTTTCAATACTATCACCAGGGCAAGAAATTATCAAGACATGGCAACAATTTTTAAAGTTTTAGGAACTTAACAATTCCCCTTTGTTAAAATAACACATCCAAGGACAGAATTATATTAACAGAGAACAGAACAAACAAAATAGTTCATGAAAGTGTTGAATCATTCATTTTCACGTTGTAAAGAATCAGACTGAAATTCTTAAGAAAGCTCACAATTCAACTCTTCATTTAACCAGACTGCTTGTTCTATAATGTGGAAAGGTATCTTTCCCTCAGCAGCCTCAAGGGAGAGGGAACATCTGCCCCGTACTTTTTTAAAAATATTTTTGTTAGCTATGAAGACTTGTATTTTTCATTAGAAACAGACCCATGAAGTTTAAATTAACCGGCAGAAGTAGCTTCAAAGACCTAAAAGTCAAATAAGAAGCAAATAATCTATTTCATCTGCAACAGAAATATGCAAATGAGGAGTAAAATGAGGAGATGCAGGGTACTACAGTTTTCTGTGAGGTTAACTGGTGGAAATTTTCCAAACTGTGGCAAAAAAATATAATATATATATATATATATATATATTATATATATCGTCAATCTCAGTCCCCAAAAGTGAGCTGAATTTGTCCCCACCCAGCCCCCACCCAAATTCATCGGTTGAAGTTCTAACCCCTAGGACCTCAGACTGTGCCTATATTTGGAGATAGGGCCTTTAGAAAGATAGTTAAGGAAAAATGAGGTCATAAGGGTGGGCCCTAATAATAGTAGATTAGAACACAGACAACACAGAGGGGTGACCGTGTGTAGAGGTAGCAAGAGGGTGACCATGTGCAAGCTAAGGAGAGAAAGGCCTCAGAAGGCCTTTATGGACAAAAGCTGCCACCATCTTGATGACTGACTTCCAGACTTTAGGACTATGAGAAAATAAACTTCCATTGCTTGTCATACGCGGTCAGTAGCACTTTTGTTACAGCAGTCCTGGCACCGACCAACACAGGAGAATAGAGCGTAAAGACCTTAGTGGCCTGCGACACATCTTGGATTAGGTTCATTCTGAGGTTTTGCATAGCTCTCAAAATCCTTTTCCTGTTTTTTTTTTTTTTTTCTCTTTCACTGTAAGCTTGTCTCCAGTATCCCTGGAGCAAATCCTACCTCATCCAATACACACACACCCCTCCATTTCCAGCAACCATGTACAAGGCACATTTAAGCAGCATTCTTCTGCTCCCTTGACTGTTACTGACCTGGATCTCAGGGAGATAGTTCTAACTTGGGTTCTAGTCTCAATCCCACCCCAAAGTCAGAAGGCCACCTTCTTCTCTCTGCACCTTGGGGTCGGAGGGAAAACCTGGAAGAAGACTGCTAACACCAAGGTTAGGAAAGAGAGAATAAAGGACATAGCACAATTAAATAAAAAATTGTACATGCAGGGTGTGGTGTGCCACAGGAGCAAGAGCTCACATGGTGTCAGCCATTACCTAGAGCCTTTTTGTTCTCCACCTTCCAAATGAATTATCAGCCAAGGTGGGCAGCCTTAGCTTCCATTTGGCATTGAGTGAGGGAGGCAGGGAGGGAAGGGTAGTAGGAGAAGGTAAGAACAAGCAGGGTGTCTCAAAGGGTAGGGCTGCTTCTGCATCTTGCCAGAATACACCTGGTTTGAAGAAAAGCAGAGAGCCACAGGCTTCCAGTGAAACTGTCCCCCGTCTGCAACTAGTTGGCTTGGGGCACACATGGTCTCCCAGGTAAGGTACTCCTGCCCACTGGCATCCCAGAAGGACGGGAGAGGACAAATCGGCCAACATCTCCCACATTCCTGAGACCCGTGCCTCCTTTCAGGGCACCTCGTTCACTCACTTGTATTTCTGAGTGATACAGGAGAGATTTCAAATGAAAATGTCTTGGGTACATTTCTATTGAGCACATGCCAAAGCTTATTATCTTGCTAACAAGGAAATTAAAAAGATGACAAAAGCAAAGGTTTTGGGATGCCTGGGTGGCTCAGCAGTTGAGTGCCTGCCTTCCATCCAGGGCAAGATCCTGGTGTCCCAGTACAGAGTCCCACATCGGGGTCCCTGCATGGAGCCCGCTTCTCTCTCTGCCTGTGTCTCTGCCTCTTTCTCTTTCTGTGTCTCGCGTGAATAAATAAATAAAAACTTCAAAAAAAAAAAAAAAAGCAAGGGTTTTTGGAATAGGTATGAAAATGGAGGAAGAAGAGGGACCTGGGGAGGGAGAAAGAAAAAAAGAGTGAAAGAAAGAAACAGCTCATTCGATAAAGATTGCCCTTTCTTTTTTATATTATGGCCGTAAAAACACCGCATTCATAGCAATCATTTCAGGGAACCTAGAGCAATGGGATCTGAGAGACCAGGCTTGGCTAACCCCTAAAAATAGCAGTAGTAGTAGCAGCGGTAATAAAAATAATACAAGTATTAATTGTAGTAATAATTCATCTAGGAGGGAAATCCCGAGGATATACCTGAAGCTGTCCAGTGGAATGTTAATACTTCTGCACCAGAAAAGCCTTTGACGGATCCCATTAACACGGAAGCAGGCCATGTATGGCAAAACAGAGGTAGAGGCCAAAACACTGGGGCTCAAGACCTGATTTTAAACGGGGGCTACCAGGTACTTTTCTCAAGCTTCAGGGCAATATGCGGAATCCAGCTGGTCCGTTTCTTAACTTTGGGATGGTTTTCTTTCTTTTGGCGGGGAAAGCAGAAGGCCACGATGAAGGTAGCCCGAGGCGCAGCGAGGGAGAAGGCGGGGAGAGGACCTGCCCGCCGCGGCCCTGCCGCTCACGTCCTTCCAAGTGCTCCCCCGCCCCCGGTGCTGCCCCGGCGTCCCCACCGGGCTGTAAGCTCAGGAAGCCAGCGCCGGCACCCCGCCCCCCCTGTCGTGCCCTGGTCTCCCCCCACCCCCGGTCGTGCCCCAGCGTCCCCGCGGGGCTGTGGGCTCGGGGACCCAGCGCCGGCACCCCGCCCCCCCGGGCCAGCGGCGGTGCCGTTACTCTGGAGAGGCGGGCCAGGCGGGCCCTCACGGCGACCCGGCTCGACTGCGGAGGCCCCAGCACCCGAGAGTTGGGGGACCTCCCCACGCACCCAGGCGCGCCCCGAGGCCTCCGCCGCTTACCCGAGTCCGCGACCCTCCGGGAGGCGAGGGCGCCCAGCTGCGGCCCGGGCCGCGCGGGTGCCCTCGGCTGGGGCAGGGCGGGCACGGGCCGTGGGGCGGAGGCGAGACGCGTGCGGCGGGCCCCGCCGGGGACAGGAAGGTGACCGGCGGCGAGGAACCGCTTCCGGGACTGCGGGCAGCCAGCTACCTCGCGTCGGGGCAGGGGAGAGCCGTCTCTCCCCTCGCGAGACGTCAGGCCGCCGCCCGGGCCGCGGGACCCCGACCCGCCTGGGGCGGCGCCGCCTCAGTACTATGGCCCGGCGACAGGACCACCAAAGGCTGGGGAGCGTATTTCTGAAGACGTGGTATTTTTAGAAATTACAAAAAACAAAATTTTGAAGAATGAACTGCAAAACGGAGCACACCTGTTTCCGCCCGGTTTCGAACCGGGGACCTTTCGCGTGTGAGGCGAACGTGATAACCACTACACTACGGAAACCAGCCGCGAGAGACCTTCCCTCGAAGGTAGTTCTCCCTGCGGAACACGCCCCGCGCTCGCTCTCCTCCGTTCCCCCCTGCAGCCGAGCTTCGTTCGCGGGTGCGTCGGTGCTCGGACCTTGAGCGCTCGCACCTGACAAGGCGGTAAGACGCGCAGATCGAGTCCTTCCAGAGTACATACCTGAGGCCAGAGCCTTAACAATTCACTCTCAAAATGGCCAGACGGAGGGAAACTAGAGAGACTACGATCTTCACGAGTTTCGACCGGAATGGGCATGCCCCGGGACGGCGCACACTCAGCGGCCGAGCCGCGGCATCAGCTCTGCAGTGGCGTGGTGATCCCCGCTGTGGCAAAAGCGGAGGCTTTCTCGCTGCGGAGAACTTGCAGGAGACTCCCTCTGCCCGAGGTCTGGAACCCTGCGTTGCTCGTCGACGAGGCGTGGAGGGAAGAGTAAAACGAAAGTGCGCACTCCGAGCCAGCCAGGAGTCGAACCTGGAATCTTCTGATCCGTAGTCAGACGCGTTATCCATTGCGCCACTGGCCCCGCATGGGAAAGAGGGGGCGCCTGCAGGTCTTCGTGAGGACTCGGTTCCGGCGGGTCCCGATGCCAGGCGTTCGCGCTCTGGTCGCGCTCCAGCCGCCGCGAGGTCGGTCCGGGGCAGCCACCTGCTCGCCGCCCGCAATCCCTCTTCATCCACGCGTTCGCGCCCCAACCTGTGTCACCCACCGTTCAAGGCTCTGGAAGCGGAGCCTGGAAGAAAACAGGTGTGATCCCTGCCCATCGAGGAGATTACAACCGTGAGTCACTAAATAAGTAAAATAATTATGATAAGCACTTGGAGGAAAATAAACCGGGAAGTCTAGGAAAGCCCAGCGGAGTCGGGGATCAACGATAGAGAAACGCGGCCACCGGAGGAAGGAGCCATTGGAACGCTGGAGATCAGGGCGGAAGCCAGGACGTACCCGTGCGCGCAGGCGACCCCCGCGAGGGCTCTGCGTGTGACCTGCAGGAAATTGGAAGTCGTTGGGGGATGGCGTGATCGGACATGCTTTCTTGTCTCTCCTCCAGTCGTTAAAAAATTTCCATCTCAGTATTTACTAAGCAAGACTCGGTGCTAAGCACCTGCTCTGCCTGTGCTTCTACCGCTGGGCCCCACAGCACAGCATCTGACACCTGCAAATGGAGCATCATCAGCCCGGACACACAGGAACGCTCACGGGTTTGCCTTCTCAAATAAGCATCTCTATTCTCTTACGTGTGCGGTTCAGCCTCTGTATTCCTGAGGAGTCAGCGTTATCTCCATGCCTGGGTTGAGCGTTGTAAAGTTTAGGGCTGTTCACAGAGAGAGTAAAACTGCCTGACGTGGAGAACATACGCGCTGAGTTTAGAAAATACTTGCTTTCAGCTCGTAAGATTGCAGCAGCCCTTAAGAAGAATATGCATCTTGCTACTCTTTTCTGCATAAGTCAAAGTACACCTCGTTAGGAATTCCACATACACACACACGCCCATGGTAGAACAGGGGACTTCTGACGGGGTTTTGTCCTTGTACCCCTAGGGCACTTTGGTGGTTATTGATTGCTTCACAGAATAATACTTTTAAATATAAAGAAAAAATAACGTAAGATTTCAAGGGGAAATCAATTATATTGAAATATGTTGTCAAAGTATTAAAATGGAATATATGGTAATATTTGTGCTCCTTTATTAATGCACTAAACGACAATATACAGCAGGAGGTCTAATAAGTACTGTAATTTCAAAGCACTTGTGAGCATAAATGGTATTTAAAGAAATTTGTAACATCTGTTCTTTTATATGAAATATTCATGATTTCCAAAAGCGATAAAGTAAAAAGGACTGAAATACAAGTGTGATTTGTTGCCTGCATTCATAATGGAAGAAACCCCAAAATTTCAGT